CCAAGAAGTAGGTCTCGCTCGGAATATTCAGATACAGTGTGGTCCTGTCAGAATGAGCGGTTACACATTTGCCACGGGCATTCAAGCATGGGGCTCGTATGCTGGCCCTAGTGTGTTGAGTACAACACATTTGATCCGTGGAGCAATCTTTCGACCTCAGTATGGAACGCATTCAATGAAGAAGCTCTCTCTGTCCGAATTGGTTGATATGCATCATACGAACGAGGCCTCTATTCTGCATGATAAAATCTATGCTTTACTGGGACTGAGTTCTGATGCTCATAAAGCACCCGGTCTGTTACCCAATTATCAAGTGCCCTGGGAGCATCTCTTTCAACGGTTAATCTGGTTCTTTTTGGATAAACACGTAAAAGTGAAGACCTGGCCTGGTAGGGAAATTGCAAGCATACAGAGCAGTGGATGGGTCCTGGGGCTCATTGTCACCGCGGAAGAAACGCACACAAAGACCTTTTTGCAAGTGCTTCTGACTGGGGAGGCTAAAATGGACTACAAGAAAGCGTGGAAAGTAAGATGGACCATGGGGAAATCAGTGGAATCGATCAAGCAATATGACATTGTATGCCTCCTGCAGGGAGTTTCAGATCCATCCATCATCAGGTACTCGGATGGTTGTTTCAGAGTGATCGTGCTAAGGGCCGTTCTTCGGAAGACAGACGTGGCAGATAATGCAGATCTCGAGAAAATACGGTCCGAGAAAAATCGACCGGCTCTCAACTTCCACCTTGTTTGGGGCTGGAAAGAGCAGTTGTTAACTTCCTTAGATATACTCGACTTGGCAGCAGAGGCTGTTGGAACGAAGTCGGCAATTGAGAAGGTTCTGTGGGACACTAATGTGGCAATGCACGAGACAGCATGCAATTGTCAAAATATTTACTGGCAAGCCATGCTTGCAACCGAAGACATTCTCCGGCTATTCACAGAACGACTCGGATTTCAACATCCAAAGACATGGTTGGCCTTTTACAGCTTGGCGCTCTTGTACTCCAAGGGAAATATTGGCGCCGAGAGAATACCACTCCTAAACTTCGATCGAACTAAGGCAAGAGATATATTGGGGTTGTGCGGGATTCAACATCATTTCGAAAAGAATTTGGCGTTGTTGGTGGGACGTAATTACCAACGCCGGATGTACATCGATGAACCGGATTTTATTTCTGGCAGCATGGAGGTTCCCCAGCACATAAAGCTCCAACGAGCATTGAAGGATCTGCTACGTGAGACTAAGCACAGGCCCACAATGAAGCTCGATCCATTGTTTTGAGGCTGAACCGAAGAGCTATTTTGGCCTGGGTAGCCCTCAGTGCTTAGGGGCCGCTTCTGAAAGCTCGGTACTGATGGTGTGGTATCGCACCATCGATGCCAGAGATACTACAGCTATAAATAGAAGCTTCAGAATTTCATCGCTTTATAAACAGTTTTGGTTGAGTACTTGATCATGAGTGAACATACTAAGTACAGTTGCATCGCAGAATTAAACAAAAAACCCGCCGATCTCATATATATATCCGGCATTCAGATACGATTCCAAGGCTAGTAGATGCTAACCATGATGAAGACCAAAGGTACATCTCAAAAATATATAAATCACGTAGCAGTTGTTCTTCAGGGACTCATGGGTATTTATATTCATTCAGTTCCGTACTATTACTATATGTTCTTGCGCGAAGCTACGGCCATATTACTACATTTAGTATTGGTCACATTTTGTAGAGGTATACCTGCATATCAGAGTTTAAACCACTATTAGAGAGCAGAAGAGACAAGATAAGAAAGGAAGCCCTTCTGTCAAGGACCAAACCTGAGTTGTCTATGAGTTTCATCCCTAAAATGGTATCCAATTGACTCTCTGGGTGAGTCGAAAAGCCTAGAACTAGTACTGATAAAAGAAACTTAAAGGAGCACACAATAGTCTGGGAAAAACGGTTCGCAAATGGCGATGAATAAGCATCACGGAGCTGGACGTGAAAATTCTTCGAGCGTTCCAGCCATCCAAAACATATGTATATGAACGCCGCCTATGGAACACCAACAGCAACGAAAAATCTAGCATGGACCGAGCTTTTACCCTCTATATATAAGGAAAAAGCCCAAAGAACCCCACATACGAGCCCGGATGGTCTAGTGGTAAGCTTTATCCAATCAAACATTTCGCCACCTTCATCGTCTAACAAATTCATAGGTATGATTCTCGCTTTGGGTGCGAGAGGTCCCGCGTTCGAATCGCGGTTCGGGCCTATCTTCAATTCTTTTTTGGCTTTACTTCTTCGTAATCTTCCCTCTCTTAGGCTTTGTTTTCTATTTGCCACCCGATTACGTATACGAGCCCGGATGGTCTAGTGGTAAGCATCCCTCAAGTCAAACTGTCTTGGCTTTCTGTGTCTAACTAAATAATAGGTATGATTCTCGCTTTGGGTGCGAGAGGCCCCGCGTTCGAATCGCGGTTCGGGCCCATCTTCTTTCTTTTTTTTCTTTTTGTTTTTCATTTTCCTTCCCATCCATCCATTTCCATATCCTTTGTTCCACGAAACCCCTCTTCTCGTTCTCTTTTACCCTTTCTTTCTCTCCCTCTTTATTCTTTTATTTGAACGTCACAAACTCCGCTCTTTGACCCATTGGCACTTCTGTCTTTCAAGGATATGCACATTTTCAACGATCTTTGCACCCCAGTCCGATCTCCCCAGAGAGAACTGATGGATGTCAAGACGCGCTTAATTCTTACCCATGATCTTGATAAAGGCTGACAGAGAGAGGTCAAGGTACCATCCATTATCTCGAAAGACATGCCTATGCCTGCACGCGTAGTACCTATCAAAGTAGGAATTTCTGGCACACCAAGTCGAGAAAGATTGTACCTGCTAACTTCCGAGGGTCATAAGATATGAGGAATATGCTGAACACGACCGGGATTTGGAAGTCCCACTTGAGATATTAATGTCAATTGTCGTAGATTTTGTCCCATTCGAGTCTATTAATACTATGCTCAGTAAATGCACCGAACACAGACATCATCTACTAATGAAAGCTACCCTGGCTACTCTCTCTCATTGTTACTTGGTGAATATAGCGATAGTTTCATGGCATTGGAACGTGGGATTGTGATAGCAACTGGGAAGAACCGGTCTAATACGATCATGAATCGTAGTTAGATAGCTGCCATAATGAAGCTTTGTTTGGGCCTACGAAGTGAAGACACTGATCTCGTGCCGTTGTATACCATCCACTGCCTCTATTATTTCCATACAGTCATCTCTTGACAGTCAAAAAAAAAAAAAAAAAAAGGTTTAGACCTCCAATCCGAGTCAGTAATAACACCCTCTGAGCTCAAAATTGGAATGACTAACTAATGCCACCCAAGATCACTTTCTTTTGATATCAAAGTTGCTTAAGATGGCCATCCTCTTGCCAAACGCGTGCAAAATTATATCCACGTACATCGCTTGAGGCACACCATGGACCATCAAATCGGTCTGGACAGGTTTAAAATCAGCGTGTACTGTTCCTGTTACCATCCGTAACACAAACAACCCCCCCCCCCCCCCGGCTGACGTGATATCCACAAACCCGCTGATTGCAAAAGAGGAAATCCTTTGCTTTCTCCAACCCTGAAGGAGTACCATCTCCATCAACACCACAATACTCCTACAAACAAATGCCATGGGCATACATAGTATACTACCAACATTCTGAATTCGAGTTGAAACCGATTTCTGCGCCCTAAATAGCCATATACGTCCCTATAAAATTAGTTCTTCGCCCCCAAGTCCTCGCCCGACCAAGTCCTCTACTCCATATACCCACGTCCAGATGCATGCTCCATCGTCATCACTACAGCGATAAGAGTACCTACTGTCCACAGAGTCCGAGTCGGATGAAACAAACTCATTCCTCTCAGAATACTCTAGTTTAGTTATTATACACACCACCTCCGTCCTACCTCACAAGTCCCAATACGCGGATACCATCGAGCAGAAACACCTGCACCGCGACCCACCACGAAAAGCCCCGAAGGGTTTGCTTGCCTTGGCGGAGACCTAGGATCCTACTACGCACCTCGGCTTTCTCCTTTGCTGCCCTAATAATCACCTCAAGAGACCAGCTATTATACAATAAGGCTTCCATCGCCAACTGGACTATACGTATACGAAGTGAGTGCCCGGGGACCCGATGCCGGCGGCCGCGCCAATTGCCAAAATTTGGTACAACTTACAATCCTACCAATACTAGTAGTACTAAGATTGGGAGTCAACTGTGAAAGGGGGGGGGATGGATAGTATATAGTATACCTAAGTACTAGGGATTGGAGGGACCTGCTCGTTGGCCTTTTGAATACTAGTTGCTGTTCTAGTACTCTTGTCTGGGGGCGGGATTTGTGGGAATTCTAACAAAACATGATAGGTCATCATGTATGATTGTATTTGCATAGGCCTACTGTTTCTCCGCCCGCCTCTTTCCTTTTCTCCGTTGTATTATGACTCTACCAAATGGCTTCGGTAGAGCATGGTCTACTTTCTTGGGGGCACTTGGGGAAAGGTCCTCGGCAATCGTTCAAGGGGCGTAAGATCTTATAGCGGAGGCCATAGATGTACCCGGGAGGGGCTTTGTGTTCGAGGGGGGAGACTAGTAGGTACAGAGTCGTGCTTATTCTGGTTTTATGCATGCATGGATGATCTATAGTCTGCTTCTATCTACAAGGCAGCGCCCTGTGCAGTGACCACTAGACCCTAAAACCCCGGTTAGGGGCAGCAGATTGGCCTCGACAGTTGCACGGCTCTAACTAATGTCCCTGTGCGTAGTCTGCATTTTAGGTCCTATGATGTATAATCTAATAGATGCAATAGTTAAATGCTCATCCATGACGCCGAAAATGAATTGACAATCTATCACTTCAAACGATTTCTGTATATATGTCCAAGATTTCTCCTCCCTCGCCCCCCTACCTCTGAACCGTTGCCGAGCGGGTTTATCACGCGGTAAGGGCTTTAACTTAGATCACCCTGCATGGCTATTCGTACGTGACCTATGACTCGCTTTTGTGGAGTTAACATCTCGTGGACGGCGATATGGAGCATGCGCTCGGGTGGAAAATGCTGTTCATCGAACTTTACCGTGGCTCGGAATATCGCCAAGACATCCAGTTGCCCCAAGTTGTCTGGCAGTTGTGACAAGTCGCATCTGATTTTGTAGACTTTGTTCTCTGGGCCATCCCCCTCAGCAATAGACATGTGGTCAAAACCAAATTTGTGTCGCGCTAGTGTCCATCTGAAGTGCAAAGGGTGAATTCCGTTGAAGGTGTCTCCCTTTGAGAAGGTTAGTACATCGGCAACAACTTGACAGGGCAGGCTCATGGATTACCTTGGAAATAATATCTTGTCGTTTGCCTGCATAGCAGAAAGCGTAATTTTGCCAGAACTTGAAGGATAGTTGGAATTCCCCCACAATGCCGCGCGCTGTCGCACCCAGACAAACTGCAGTTACTGGTTGACTATAAGGTATCAGTGGGTTTGAACGATGGAAATGCCGTGATGAGGGTGAGGGTAGCCTTACTCGCCAGGTGGCTGGTAGACACTGATTCCGGATTCTCTTGGAAATGCACGGTTGATTCTTGTTGAAATTTCGGACGACTTGCTTAGTCCCCCAACTAGCACTAGCTTCTGTCAGACATGTTAGCCTCTCGATGCAGCTTGAGATTAAATAAATGGTGGATTGCCTTGACAATATTCCCGCCCGCGGTCATATTCGCGCAAGCTATCTGTTGTCGGATATGGTCAATGACTTTGGTTGTAAATTCATCGTAAATCTTCCCCATCTCAGCTGCTGAGAGCTTGTAGAAACCTGGTTTTGATATAGGACCATGCGGAAAATGCTTCCGGGACCATTCGACGAAGTTGGTGAGTCCAGTGTTGCTTCTGGTCGAACGACTGTGAGTTTGTTTGCTTTCCAAAGCGTTGTAGATCTGCGACTGAAGCTGAACAGCACCACAGGCGTTACCTGATGAGAAATTAGGCTGAATCACAACCTCAAGGGACCTTGCTTACTAGTGATGGCCGTAAGCCTCTGGCATTCAAAAGGGTTAGTTTGATCCACAAAAAAGGTGGTCACATCCTAGTGTGCTGTTAATATCGAAAAGAAATGGGACTGGTTGTTTCGGAAAACAGCTCATACCAGTGTGCTCGCCCCACAATCGACAACAATCACTCCATAATGAGGCTGTTAAGAGAGCTCACAGTTACTAAAAGAATAGTGGCGGTAATAACGGGGCAGTTTAATCTGGTTAGATACTTACATAGTTGAATGGTGTCATAGCAGAAGCCTGTTCATTAGCCGCAAACACAGCGGCGGCCTCCGCCTCAGTAATGAAGTTGATTCTTGTGCCTTCAGATTCCGCAAACCCCGCTGAGTAGACAGCCTGTTTCAATTTCTGAAAAGAATTCTCCGACCATGTTGAGGGATGTGTGAATACAAAGTCCCATGGCAGGTTTAGGAGTGTGGTGTCGGAATTCAGAGTGGCCCGGACACTACCTAAGATGCCACGTAGGAAGTCCGATACCACTAGTGAGGGATCATTCTTTTGTCTTTGAGGAAGTTGGTTACATGCCGACTGAACGATCTCCCCAATCAACTTGTCATTAGAGTCTTTCACGATGCGGGACTCATCGAACATATGCTTTAACCAATAAACACAGTTAGTACCCGCAGCCTGGGCGTCCTCACCGATCTCGTACGAATCTTCTGAAGTGTATGCGATTGCTGTGGGGACTATGTATTTGTTGTGCAATCGGAAGAAGTCAATGTTCTGAGTCCCTTCGTCATTGCGGCCGTAGGAGACAACTATTCAGATGGCAGACGTGAGTGACGAACACAGTCGGAGAAGAAGCAGCCTGCAGTATCATTATACCTGTCTTACTCGCCCCAATATCGATCCCAATGACCAATCTTGGACTTGAGCTTGCCATAGTCCTTGAGTGTAGGAAATTGAAGGATTAGAAGTAACGGAGACGGTGGAACATTGGTGGTAGGGCCGGTACGTTTCCGAGACAAAGAGGTTGTAACCTTGGTATATACCGTTCCAAAGATAAAGAGTTCAGACCCAAATAGGGGTGCAAGATAAAGAGACTGTCAACAGGTGGGGCAAGGAAGAGTATTTGTGGATGTTGTTGTTGTGGCGTTTGCAAGCTTGAGTGACCAAGACCAAAGTCACGGGATACTCTCTTCTTTGTTTTTCTTCGTTCTTCTTCTCTCTGTCCCATACTAATGCTGATGTATTCATCGCATCGCATCCTCGCCAGATTGGATCATCATGGTGAGTACACGAAGCCAGAAGAGAAAAGCAGAGGCTGTCAGTTCTTTCCTCATTCACCTGCCATCCTGCATCCCCCAATGCCCGCTCACTTCTCTGATCTCTACTTAGGAAATGCCGCCTGCTCTGCCCCATAAAACCTCAAAGGACGAACCTTCATCTGATTCTAAACCACTTAGAAAGCCTTCTGTGCACCTAACTGCTGAGGAATATGACGTTTACCTGAGCCATTGTAACCGAATGGCCATCAGCCGAGTCGGATACCAGCCCAGCCCAAACACAGTCAAACACAATTATGCCTTCCTCCAAGGACCGGTTAGAGAGTGGAGTGATACGTACGCATGTCAATCTACACCGTCACTTTCCGACGAACAAAAACAAGCTATCATTAAAAGTCTTGATATGTTTTGTATCCAAGAACCTTGGGATACGATCCAAGCATTACTTTCCCCTCCACTGCGTGACAAGTTTCACCTATACTTGATCCAAGCAATGATTAATAGACTGATGTTTACCCGCTTTATCGAGAAGCCGTTCTGGTTCCTGGATGGGAAAATTGACGGAGCTGATGTGACTGGGGATACGTCATTCCCTGAGAGACTTCAGTATCTGTATAAGAGATACTACGAGGGTGGGTGTCTGTTTGTTCTTTTCTTCGATCTACGGTCAATGTGAATGTCTATCAATCTTGCCTTCCTTTTCACTGACAAGCGAGATCTCTTTAGCAAGCCCCATCAATGCGATCTGGTGGAGAATGGTAACCCTTGGTCTTGCAAACCTGAAAATAGACCAAACACCTAAGTCCCCCCTAGATAAAACGCCTTACGAGTTTGGAGATGAGAACCGGAAGCGGCAGGCGGACACGGCAGAGAACCTGGCGGATCAGCTTCTAGCGGACAGCCTGTTTCAGCTCCTCCTCCGAGATTTGGCTGACGCAGAAGAGAAGACAGATCGCCGTCAAGAACTGGTAAACCTTCTTCAGGCGGGTGCGGAATATCTCACCGAGCATGAGGTCACACTGGGCGGACAGGTGAAGGTCCATCAACTTCCCGAGCTGGAGAAGTTCGATCCCTCTACGGGACTTATGTACTCAAGTCCAATTCATTCTAAGAAGCAGGACGATAATCCGCTATCCTTCCCTAAGCCACACGGCCGGGTGGTTCTCGTCGTACGGCCTGGGGTGTGCCGGTACGATCTTCCTATCGAATTCGTGCCGTTCAATCATCGACACTTGAAACGACTGGAACTGAGCGGAGCTAATACCTCCTGCTTGGCTTGTAAAGCCGAGGTACTGGTGGAAACAGTCAGTAGTGACGACTCATCTGCCGAATTTCATGCCGACCCCAACGATGAGGATGTTTCTTTCATTGTCTGATTGACTTCTACGCTTGTGCTGTTGTGTTTTGCTTTGACTTTCGCGGTGCCTTTAGAGCATTCTTTGTTTTTAGGTTTTAGGAACAATGAATAGTTTGTTTTTTCTCTTTTACTTTATGTCAACGTGCAATGGTTTGAGTTGCTCATTGTTGCTCATGCTTTGCATATCTCAATAACTGAAAAGACCTGTGTCTCAGCTATGTAATCATAGGAGGGGGCAGCGGGGGTGTTCTCTTGCCATGACTCTTCTACCCAAGCACTACCTAAGACCACCATCATGTTCCTGTCCATGAAAGCACCGGTAAAGCCCTCTTGGAAACTTTTAGTTCATAATAGAGGTAGTGCTGTATAACTTGGAAGGATATCGATTACGTTGTGTTTTGACCGCGACAATAGGCCCCGACCTACGCAAAAGACAAGTCACCTTAGGTAACTGAAACAGGCTAAGCTAGAACCCATCGCCTTACCATATCCCATCTCTGTGTTCCCACAACTGACTCAGGAGCGCGCACTTATTATCATTATACATCCATCAGCCATGAATGCACACCATTAGCTCTGCGTTACATTCTTTAGGGAGAACAGAACACCACACTCATGCTGACCCAACGGAATCCCCCAGAATGATTTTCCTGCTAGATCCAAGTTCGAAGGCGGAAATTAAGAAAGAGGGAAAGCGATAAGACTTCTGCTGTCGTCAAGTACTTCGTAGTTCACGCAACTCAGCCCTAAATCGAAGCATACTGTAGAAGTCACAGGACCCGCTGGGTGACTCAAACTGGGATGAAAGGATTCCATTGCGTTCGAGAATTCCACCCCAGCTAGTCATTTCTTGTGACTTGACACTTGCTTTTTTCCAAAACAATTGTTTTCCACTGCTACCCTCTCAGCTGAGCATCTCCCAACACACGCAGAGCATCCAAGAGATGTTTTGACAAGAATTTATTATATTATTGGTCATCCTACTTGTTGATTTCAAACCTCACCCATAGAATTTGTCTGTAGAGTACTGACTCAGCCCTTGTTGCAGTGATGAGAGCTGGATACCAGCCGCCGACCACCTGGCAAGTTGATGGCTGATTGGACTGTATCTGAGAGTGAATCACCTGGCGAGGAAGACGTGGACCAGGTTTGAGACTGAATTAGTTCCCTGGGGTATGTTGGAGTATGTCTGGTGTTTCTGACACATGTCACCATAAGCCTCGGAACAAGCTTTGAAGTCATCAAGAGCAATGGCTTGTAGTCAAGCCATGTAGTTTATATGGGAAGACAGTGGTGTACCGCATATCACCTAAGTGAGGGATCAGTGCTTAAATTACCAGCAGCAGCAGCAGGAACAGTTCCCTGAAGGCCCCATTCCCCCTTCCCTATCTCCTTTCCATAGAATTTCACCAGCAGCCCCACAGTTACAGGGCCAAGGACCGTGTTAAGCAAAATTGCCCAGACGGCGGTAATAAAGGCATCCTCGCTCACGTACGAAGTCTCATTGTACCCGACCTCGACAATGAGGAGGCCAATTTCGCCGCGGGCAACCATTGCCGAGCCGAGAAGTAGGCCAGAGAGACAGACTGTGGACCAGACTGGTTTTGTGCTGTCTTCGCTGGCGTATTCTTCGCTAGGATACTCGTTCGCCGTCTTTCTGTTCAGGAGATTGGAACTGGAAAGTAATTGCCAGAGAGGGACCCAGATTCCGACGATGAGCTGGTCATTGTTTTAGTAGTCATGTCAGAACCAAGCTTAGCGAGAGAACGGGAACTGATACCTTTGCAAACAGCATAAGAAGGGTAAAGACGATACCCCTCCAGATCCTCTTCCCCGTCCAGAGCTGCACAAAGGGGATGGCGAATCCAATACTCGAAAAGAAAAGCGGCTCCATAAGATACTTTTGCACATCTAAAAGATAGCGCTCGAAGGTGTGTACAAACGTTGGACTCTTGTTCTCCTCCCTTTCGCCTTCCTCGCGGCTCATAACCACAAACGGTCCATCTGGATGTTTACTAGGGATATAAGTCAAGAATGTACCAGCCAGAAATGCACCGAAGAGGATGGAAGTTCCCGTATACGCGGCAATACTGATGAACGCGCAAAGGACCAAGATCATTAGAGTGATGTTGGAGATGTGGTCGAACCGAGCGAAGTGATACTCGATATAGCGGCGGAACAGTGGCGCGAAGAGATACTTTGTTACCAGGGGGGTTACAATAGCCATTCCGATGGAGGCTACGATTGGGCGGCCAATTAGCCAGCCTAGGTTGACAGAGTGACCTTGACTTAATTCGCCTAGATCACTGATGACGCTGTTTTACGTGAGTTTGAACACTGTGGATGATCTGGGGCTTAGGGCAAGTAGCTTATCTACCTTAGCATTACCAGGCCGACAACATCGTCAATGACAGCTGCGCTTACGAGGATCGATCCGACGCGAGTTTGGGCGAGATCGACTGTGCTGGAAGCAGTTGAGATGACAGCAAAGGTCGTGCCAAGAGAGGTAGCAGACAAAGATGCTCCCACGATGAAAGTTTCAACAGCACCTGCCAAAATGTGTCACCTTAAAAATCTTTTTAAGTGCAATGTATAATTACTCACCATAGCCGAATCCCAAGTAGAGGAGCAGGTAAGAAAGTCCGATCGGAAAAAGAACCCCCGTTGCAGCGCCAATCATACTCAGAAAAAGATTCTTTTTTAGGAGGTCAAGACGGGCCCCTAGCCCGCCTTCAAAGATGATGAGTATCAAGCCGATATAACCTAGCGCAAGGAAAGTGGATTGCCAATCTTCATGCAGGATGTTCGCCAGTGGCGTTCCGTAAATAATACCGACGGCGATCTGGCCAATGATGCCGGCGCGGATGATTTTTGAAGAGATCCATTCCGCTAGGGAGAGGAAAAAGAAAAAGGAGATTAGGATGAGAACGTTGACAACTGATGTGGTCAGTTTTTTTCAATGATCAATGGTAGTGGTGAAGGGATCATGGTCAACGTACTGCCTGGTTCGTGATAGGGGAGGAAACCTCCAGCCATAATTGCAACCTTTTCAACCCTAATGCCTTTACCTGAATAACAGACTTGCTCAGTAATATGTAGTGGTGGGTATATCAATGGAATCTGAATCTCAGTCTCAATATAGTTCTTTTTAATCAATGAAGTCTTGTGCGTATATACTACAGATGGTGTTGGTGACAGGTCTGTCCGAGGTCGCACAAAGTAAGGTTACGGGCAATGATCTCACTGTTCAATTCTGCCTGCAAGAGCCATGGTCTATCTACTATCTACGTACAATCAATCTTCTCCGCAAAAACCATATTTTATGTTTAAAATTCAGATACTCGTTACTCAACTTCACGATGATGCAGACTTACTTTGGCTACTTTGACTAGTATAATATCCACACCTTATCTGGTCGCCGGGGCATCGTCCCAACTGATGTGGAGAAACCACCAAATCCACCAATTTAGTTTTTGGTGCCGGTTTTGGCTCTCCCACCGCCCGAGCACTTCCGAGAGTATTCCGCATCCGCGAAATTTTCTCTTGCCCGGCTTCCCCGTGTGCTTCTTCTCCAGCTTCAACCTTTTCCCTCCATCCTACCAATTCTTTCTTAATCGGGTCTTTTTTTGGGTTCCCTTTTTCTTGTCCTGGGTACGGGGTCGGGTTGTATTCGATTCAATTGCCCTTGTCCTTGTATCATACCATTTTGCTTCTGTTTTACCCTCCGTCCTTTTTTTTCTCTTCCTCTAAAACATCCTTCTATTACTTCCACCGCCACCCGCTTTACATTTGCCGTCATCAGGTAGCTCTGTCTTATCAAGTGCTACCTATTCATTCTATTATCTATTTCTCCCTTCGATCTACCACCAATTAGTCCGTCATAATGGCCCAGACCAATGGCGAATTGGAGCACTCGAAAGGTTCGCTCTCTTTTCCCGGCCGTCAATCACCGATCTCATATATGTCCGATAAAACTAACCTCCTGTCCACAGAGACTCCCGAACAGCTCACCAATGGTAACCACCCTGAGGAGACTCAGGAAGAGGATAACACTGGTGGTATGTCTCTCCTGTCGCTTCATGGCTCAATCTTGCGTACCTGTTACTGACCATGAGTCATCGTTTACAGGCCTCTTCCAGATCACCGTCAAGCTCCCCCATGAGCCCTACAAGATCCAAGTGATGGTGGGTATTATGTCTACAGGTGTCATGCGACTAGGGGAATGATTCAAAAACCCTCTAACTCGTATGCTTAGGTGTCGAGCCAAGAACAAGTTCAAGATGTGCGCCAATCGATCGTCGAGCTGCCCAGCACCTTCCAGTACACCTGCTTCCACCTCGAATTCAACGGTCAGCGCATCAATGACTTCGTCGAGCTGTCCGAGGTGCCCGACCTGAAGGCTGACTCCGAGATCACCCTGGTGGAGGATCCCTACAACGAGAAGGAAGCTCGTATGCACGTTGTTCGCATGAGAGAGCTGGTTGGCGCTGCTGGTGACCGGGTGGACAACCTCCACGGTATCAGCGCTGGTCTGTCGCTGCACGATGCCATCTCCGCCGAGGTGGCTGAAGCGTCAGAGAAGGAGCACTCCCTGTCCAAGTACGACATCACTAGCTCCCCCTCTTTCAAGACCATCCTCCCCCGCGCCGAAGCCCCCCTTCCCAAGACCGTCAAGGCCATCTCTCTCTCCCCCTGGAACCCCGTTCCTTACCACCTCCGCCAGAAGGGCCACTTGCTCTACCTGCAGGTCACCACCAACGAGGGTGAGCAGTTCCAAATCACCTCTCACATCTCCGGCTTCTACGTGAACAAGAACTCGAACATGAAGTTCGATCCTTCCCCCAAGACTATCCCCAAGAGTGGTCGCGCGCACTCGCTGCTCACCTTGATCGCTCACCTGTCGCCTTCCTTCAACGCCTCTTTCGAAGCCCTCCAGGAGTCGAACAACAAGAAGGATCTCCTGACCACCTTCCCCTTCCAGAACGCCATCCCTAACAACCCGTGGCTTGTTCCCCCTCCCACTTCGACCGCCAACGCTCACCAGCCGGACATCACCCGTTCCCAGGAGAACTACCTCATCTCCGGAGTTGACAACGCGGAGACCCTCCGTGACTGGAATGAGGAGTTCCAGACTACCCGGGAGCTGCCTCGCGAGACTGTTCAGGACCGTGTCTTCCGTGAGCGCTTGACCTCCAAGCTGTTCGCTGATTACAACGAGGCCGCCGCTCGCGGTGCCGTTCTGGTTGCTCGTGGTGAGGTCGCTCCTCTGAACCCCACTGAGAGCCGCGATGCTCAGATTTTCGTGTACAACAACATCTTCTACTCCTTCGGCGCGGACGGTGTTGGCACCTTTGCCTCCGAGGGAGGTGATGAGGCTGCCCGTGTCGCTGTCGGAAAGGATGTTGTGGGCATCAAGGCCGTCAACCAGCTCGATATCAACGGTCTCTTCACCCCGGGAACTGTTGTCGTTGACTACCTTGGCAAGCGTATCGTCGGTCAGAGCATTGTCCCCGGTATCTTCAAGCAGCGTGAGCCCGGTGAGCACCAGATCGACTATGGTGGTGTTGAAGGAAAGGATGTCGTGGCTACTCACCCCGACTTTGTGTCCGTCTTCGAGAAGATGTCCAAGGCTCTTCGCGTCAAGAAGCACGCCGTGTGGGACAAGGAGGGCCAGCGCCACGAGCTCGAGGGTAGCGTGGAGACCAAGGGTCTTCTGGGTACTGATGGCCGCAAGTACGTCCTTGACCTCTACCGCGTGACTCCCCTGGATGTCATGTGGCAGGAGGAAGAAGGTAGCGATGCCTACCCGCACCGCATGTCGGTCCTGAGACTGGAGCTCGTTGAATCTTACTGGAGACACAAGATGAGCCAGTACGTGAAGGCCGAAGTCGAGCGCCGCCGTAGCGCCAAGGCCGAGGCGGACGCTGCCAAGGCTGAATCCTCCGAGGCTACCGAATCCAAGGAGCAGGCCTCCGAAGAAGAAAAGAGCGAGGAGGCTGCTGAGCAGGAGCGCGTTGACATTTCCGGATTCTCGCTTGCGCTGAACCCCGACGTCTGCAGCGGTCAGGTTCCCCAGACTGACGAAGAGAAGGAACAATGGGCCCAGGACGAGAAGGAGGTTCGCGAGACCTGCGACTACCTGCGCTCCAAGATCATGCCCGAATTGATCCAGGACTTGCACGACGGTGATGTCGGCTTCCCCATGGACGGACAGTCTCTTAGCCAGCTTCTGCACAAGCGTGGTATCAACATCCGCTACCTTGGTAAGCTGGCTCAGCTGTCCAAGGAGAAGGGTTCTCGCCTCGATGCTCTGTCTACTCTCCTTGTTCAGGAGATGATTGCCCGTGCCTTCAAGCACATTGCCAACGAATACCTTCGTAACGTACCGGCGCCGTTCGTCGCCTCCTGCATTTCTCACTTGCTCAACTGCCTTCTGGGTGCTGATGTCAACCCCAACCCTGTTGCCGAGATCGACGCTTCTCTGCGCTCCATCTACCCTGAAGGCGACTTCTCCTTCGAGAAGGCCACCCCTGCCACTCTCCGGGCTGAGATTGAGAAGCAGGTGACCATCCGGTACCGCTTCACCCTGGAGGCCGAGTGGTTCAACTCTCTTAGACACTTGCAGCTTCTCCGTGACCTGTCGATCAAGCTCGGTCTGCAGCTTGGTGCCCGGGAATTCATCTTCGACAAGTCGCAGATCCCTGCCAAGGCTCCTGCCACCAACGGTGCCAACGGTGCTGCTCAGGAGGAGGGCAAGAACAAGAAGAAGAAGAAGGGTGGCGATTCCAGCTCTCCCGCCCGCGCCGCCAAGGAGGAGAAGCCCATCCTTGCCATTGTACCTGATGACATCCTCAACATTGTGCCCTTGGTCAAGGACGCCTCCCCCAGGAGCTCCCTCGCCGAGGAGGCCCTGGAGGCTGGTCGTATCTCTCTCATGCAGAACCAGAAGCAGTTGGGCCAGGAGCTCATCTTGGAGTCTCTGTCTCTGCACGAGCAGATCTACGGCATCCTCCACCCTGAGGTTGCCAAGCTTTACCACCAGCTGTCCATGCTGTACTACCAGACCGACGAGAAGGAAGCGGCTGTCGAGTTGGCTCGCAAGGCTGTCATCGTCACTGAGCGTACTCTGGGTGTGGACTCGGCTGACACCATTCTGAGCTACCTCAACCTCAGTCTGTTCGAGCACGCTTCTGGAAACACCAAGACTGCGTTGGCTTACATCAAGCATGCCATGGACCTCTGGAAGATCATCTATGGCGCCAACCACCCCGATTCCATCACCACTATGAACAACGCCGCGGTGATGCTGCAGCACCTTAAGCAGTACTCGGACTCTCGCAAGTGGTTCGAGGCCTCGCTGGAAGTGTGCGAGAACCTCTTTGGCCGCCAGTCCATCAACACCGCGACCATTCTGTTCCAGCTGGCCCAGGCTCTGGCTCTTGACCAGGACTCGAAGGGTGCCGTTGGCAAGATGCGTGATGCCTACAACATCTTCCTTAGTCAATTGGGTCCCAACGACCGCAACACTAAGGAAGCCGAGACCTGGCTGGAGCAGCTCACTCAGAACGCGGTCTCGATTGCCAAGCATGCCAAGGACATCCAGGCTCGCCGTCTGCGCCGGGTCAACATGAACCCTCGCTCTCTCGGCACCAAGATCCAGCCTCAGGTTGGCCAGACTGCTCCCGAGACCGCTGGTGCCAGGGCTCCCGGCAGCGCCTCCCTGGACTCTCGTAGCGTCGATGAGCTGCTGAAGTTCATCGAGGGCGGTGATGCCGGTTCTTCCAAGGCCAAGCAGAAGAAGCGCGCTGCTGCCAGCAACCCCAAGCTCCGTGGATCGAAGAAGTCTTCGGCTTAAGCGTGATGGGTTGTCTCATATTCTTTTCCTACCTTCCAGTTTCCTATGCATGGCCGCTGGCCGAGCTTACAAAAATGATCTTGGGTTCATTTCCTTGTATTATGCCTGTCTTAATAGAGGTATTATTTGGCTCTATATATCCCTGCAAAGAGTTGATGTTTTGGATGAGCGGGCCGTTTGCAGAAATCTCTCTACTCCCGCACCACATTGGGTGCTGATGGTTCTATGTTATTATTTCCTTCTTCTTTTCTTCCTATTGTTCTGTTCATTTCACGTCTTTTGGCATGGGTTCTCTCTATCGCGGGCAGTGCATAGCCAAGCCGGGCGATTCGCATGCTATGTATTATATACGATGATCGGTGGTTATCCCAATACGACTCTGTAACGATGCTATGTCTTTGATTCATTATTTCTTCTCTTCGTAGCAGCATATCCCATCATGAAATTAGATATCTGGAATTTATTTCAGTCAAAAGTCGTGAATGGCTATTCAAACTATTTGAACAGGACCGAAGCGAGAGACTCTGACTGTGTATATCCTATGAAACTAACCATAAGAGAGATGATACTGGATCTATCGAGAAATGTCCCTAAACTTACTTATTCCCTCACAATTATCTGGCCACCAACTCCTTCCGATTGACACGGAATTTACAAGACATCAATAAACATATTCGCTTTCCCTTGGTTCCTTCTCCCCATCACAGATGTAGAGCTCTCTCCCAACGTTAAGCCGCGATGTAATTGGTGCAACTTAGAGGGCGGTAGTACTAGTAGTAGTACTAGTAGCATCAGAAGGGAGAATTGCGTGTTTGTGCTAACTATCCACTACTACTTACTACACACTAACTCTAGAGATGCTACGAGGAGTGGGAACAGCATCGCTGAGATGAAAATCAAAAGCAAGGACTGGTCGGGACTCTGACCGTTAACCACCCCCACCGGCCCAGAGACAGGTTGTAGACTAATCTCTCAGACGAGAAACGTAATGATCCAGCATGAGTGAACGCTGCAGTTGCAGTAAAGTGTCTCTTGTCCGAGGTCATTGGTTCGTGCTGAAAATCTAGAATTGTTCTGCCTACGACATTGTTGGTATACCAACAGGATGCAATGCAGTCGAGTAGTAGACTTTGTCTATCCAATAGATGTTCCCATGCTGTGAGGATATCTTGGAACTTTCGAGTAATTCATATGGTGGCTTGTTCAGCTGACGATGAGCGGGGATTCATCTGCTCGCTAAGGTACCTGCGGAAACAGCAGTAGCGTTGGCGGGGGGTATATTGGATGCGCCACATCACTTCAATGTACTGATAGGAAGAAAGCATTGGGCGAATTAATGAATGAATGGATGGCGCCTGGCTCCCCACGGCGCTTCAAGTCCAGCTTCTGCGAGACCTGAGCGTCGATGTTTCAACCAGTAGCATATCGCCTAGCCCTGAACCTTCAGAGGAGGGCCGCTGCGGCATCCAGCGTGACATCTGCGCCATCAATGAGCGGGAAACGAGGGCGCGGGGGAGGAATGATTGGAGGCCACCGTCTCGTCTCCCAAGAGACTTAGTTTGATGGCTGCATCTAGTCCTGGCAGTCACGGCCAGCGCTTCGCCAGCGATACGCGGGCGCGTCCCTGTCTGCACTGATAGCCGCCCGGGCCACGGACAGGCCCCTTGGCGATGTTGTTTGTACCCCAGACCAGGCCAAGAACAGCGTTTTGAAGAAGGGCCCGAACACAACAGCCGGATCCTATCAGGTTGACTTACCAGCTCGTGGTGGTTATTATTGACCAGCCCGTGTGAAGAGCCGCCGATCTGCACCCGCCAGTGCGGGACGGCGACAATAACTGGATAGGTACCAACCTCCAACACTAAGTACTTGATTCCCACACCGTTCGGAGATGCAGCGTCCTTGACGCTCCACTCGCACGCGACCTGTCCCGAATTAAGCGAGTAATTTCTGGCTCTTATGATGACAGCTAGGACGAGCTGAGTTTCTTGTGAGCGCGGGGGTCATGGTTTTTCTTTTTTACTTTTAGGCGAACGTTGGGAAATTGGAAATGATGGTTGGCGAGGTCTCATTTTTCAGACGAACCCCATCGCTGGGTCGTTGATGATTTGGTCTGGTCTGGTTCTGACCATATTCATTCATTTCCATCCGAGTGCGTATTGTTGTGCCATTTTCCTCGGCAAATTGGGGATTAGACCGACTGATTGAATTTCCTGGTAAGAGTGGGTTGGTTGATTGATTAGGTTTCCTTTTGGGGGTGATTTTCGTGTCTTGGTGGATTGATCGACTGATTGATAAGGATACTCGTGGGTGAAAAAGTCATTCTTGCATTGTGATTCTTTGGTTCCGGTGGCTGGATTGACCGTGGGGGTTAAGGTAAAAGGGAATTGTGGCATGGGTTGGGCACGGAATTTGGCTTTGTTTTAATTGTAGATCTTTCTGAATGGATTACTAAATTTCCTTGTTGGCGTAGGTGAACTAATGTGGTTAGGTATGGCTTCACCGTCTGAAACTCCCTAGGGAATACTGTCGATGCTAGTTACTAGTTGAATGTCAGTAGAAGACCATCAACCCCCACGGTCAGTCCGTCGGTCAGTCGGTCAGAAGGGCACCTCCTGAACGGGAAGAGTGATGAAGCAACGGCAGTGACAAGAAGTGTCGCACGACTGTAGCTTAAACAATAATGACATTGACAGATGACATACATCATGCACTGACTGACAGCAAAGCAGGAGGGAAGTATAAATCAGGATAAATACGAAATGAAATTAGATTAATTCCCCCAGCAAGTTCCCCAACTACACGAACAACCCCAGGAATTATTATATTGCTTCTGATTGATGAAATGAGGGTTTGTTTATCATCCCATATTAATTCCCACTTTTTCTTGAATCGGTGAGTAATGATGAGGGACTGCTCCACCTGCTGCTTTGGGGAAGGCGTGACGATAGGAAACTTGGTGTAAATACTTAGTAGATAGACTAGACTACTTATTTTCCCCCAAAGTAAAACATTAACAATCCTTCGATCCTTGGCTGAGAGGGGTGGTGTGCCGTGTGGTTGATATCAGTAAAATTAATGTCTTATGATGTGACTGAGAGGGAATTATGGTAGTACAAAAAAAGAAAAGGATTGTGCAGAGAGTTTATTTCGGGAGCCTTTGTTTATGCTTAGCATAGAAAGGAATAGTTAGGAATCTTCCTACTTAACCAATCAATCAGTCAGATCACGGGTCTTCCGGTGCCAAGATTAGGTACCTCCTCTTTCTTTTCTTCCCTTCTCATTATCGTTGCTTGTTTTCTGTTCTCAGTAATTCTTTTCTGATATCATCAGTCAAATAGGCAATGACCGACAACCTAATCATAGCCACACTCAAGAGAGAAGAGGAACTCCTGTCTAGACTATTATTATATCTTCTGATTCGCCATTCGGGAAAAAGTCTTTGCCTATCTTGACTCTCTCCGACTCTTGTCTTTCGCTCATCCTCAAACCTCAAACCGCGCCAAATCCACTTGGGGCCCGCTCTTGTCCGCCCGCGCCGCCAAGATTGGCTCGCTCACTGGCTGTTAAACTTCTACAACGCAAGGGCGACGGCCATCACTCCCTCCAGCCAAGCCGCGAGATCTCATCCGGCCTCCGCTGGGGTGTTTCATCTAGGAACCCACTCATCCTCTCCCTGTTCCTCTCTCTCTTCTCCCCCCTCCTCTTGACTACTCGATCGATGGCCTCATATATCCGCTTCGCTTGGCGTGGATGGCAAATTTGACAGGAGTCACTCGGACGGGCCCAGCGTCTCTTGGTGACATGGCTCGACCTGTCCAATGTTCCACCTCATTCTCCCTCTCTCCACTTATCGCGATGCACTGACTTGACTCGATGGGCCCCGATGCTGGGCCCTGATGAGTCGCTGGCTAACCCGCAATGCTCCAATCCAGCCAAGGGCGTGTGCTTGATTGAGAAGGTTTTGCACTGGCCCTCTGGAGATCTTTCTCAATTCTGCTCGTTCTTCTTCTTCGTAGACTTTTCTTTTTCTTTTTCCTCTTTTCCTGCTTCTCAGCTTTCCCTTTTGTTAAGCGCTTTCCCCTTCACATATCGGCTACAGGATAGTCAGTCCCTTCTTTCCCTTCCAACCCTACTACTTTTTGGGTACTTATCCCACGCCCCCCAATCGATTTGGCTCGCTTCTGCCTCGCTGTTGGTCGGTTGTTGGCTGTTGGTACCTTTTTTTTGTTCATTCTTTATCAGAACCTTTTTCATTTATTTTCTGAAGCTGAAAAAGCAAAGGGTGTGACTGGTTCATATTCCGTCTTAAACATTCCGTTCCGTTGCCCGCCACTGTCGAGAGATTCCACACGGAAGTATCCCAGTTCCCAGGCGACCGTCCATTCTCTGTAAATCAAGACACACCAAGCTTCTTACCGTATTTCCCTTCGATCCATGACCAGCCTTGTCGCTTGGTCTTTGTTCAAGTTGTGATCTTCCCGTTGCACGACAAAGCGCCATCACAATACCCTTGTTGGTGTGAACCCTGGCTCTCAGCTGGACGTGGGATATTCTTGCTCTCCCCACGCCAGTCCAACAACTAGAGACTTCAAATACTCCTCATTGGGTCTCTTGCATGGGTCATCAACGAGGATCATCTCGGGATTTTCTTTCTTTTTTTCTTCATTTGCAATTAGTTCCTGAAGAAAAAACTCCGTCTGGGTAGAGCTGGTCTCTCCTGCAAGAAATATCCCCTATTAGTACATCTCCACGTCGATTGTCAAGACAACTTTCCGTTCTTTTTTTCCCTTCTCATTTTTCAATTCACACACAAACATGCATTCTCTTCTTTTTTGCTCGTCCCTGGTCGGACTTGCTTCTGCAGCAGAGCTCGGAAAGCGTCATGGAGGGGGCCATTCGTTTTATGAGATGCTCAATGACGACCTCGCTCGTCTCAGTCTGCTGGTCCTGGGCCTTATGGCTGCCTTCATCTATATCTGGAAGATGTGGCATCGTCTTGCCAGTCATATGAGGCGGCTGGCAAGTTTCAACAATGAACGTCAGCGGTATTTCGTTCATCCCGACAGCATGCTCGCGAAAATCCACAACCATATCATCTATGCCCCGTTGTTCCGTACACGCCATAACCGCGAGTTCCAGCTCTCCCGAGCTGTCAACATGGGCACGCTGCCCAGTCGGTTCCACTCCTTCATACTGGTGGGCATTATCGTTATGAACGTCGTCCTTTGCGTTGTCACCGTACCCTATGGGACCGAGGAGTCCACGGTTGCGGGCCTGATCCGCAACCGCACCGGAACCATGGCGACAGTGAACCTTATCCCGGTGGTGCTCATGGCCGGCAGGAACAATCCCCTGATCACCCTGCTCCAAGTGCCGTTTGACACCTTCAATCTGATTCACCGCTGGCTCGCTCGCATTGTCGTCTTGGAGGCAATCGCCCATGTGTTTGCTTTTGCGATCCCCGAGGCTCAGGAAGGTATGTAGTTGCAACCCATGTCGGATAATGGTCCATCTGTGCTAATATTTGTATAGCCGGTTGGGATCTTGTTGGAATGCTTTTCGGAGAGAGCAGCTTCATGCTGAGTGGATTGATCGTAAGCATTTATGAATGAGCAAGCTTGAATTTGACTAACTTGACTGTTAGGCTGGCTGCGCCTTCACTGCCCTCCTTGTGCACTCTCCCTCCCCCATCCGCCATGCATTTTACGAGACCTTCCTCCACTTTCACATCGCATTCGTCGCGCTTTCGTTCGCCTTCCTGTGGATACACTTGGATGGCATGGTGTCTCAGAACTACCTTCTCGCCGCCATCATCCTCTGGGCCCTCGAGGTAAGCCTCCGCTTTCCTATTGAATTGTGTGACAGAATTAACCATGGACATAGCGATCCGCTCGAATCCTCATCATCGTGTACCGTAACTGCGGAAGAGAGTGCACGACAGCGCATGTTGAGACCCTACCGGGCGATGCCCTTCGGATCACCCTGAAGATGGCACGGCCGTGGACCTTCAAGCCCGGCCAACATATGTACTTGTACATCCCGTCCATTGGTTTCTGGATGAGCCACCCATTCTCCGTCGGGTGGAGCGAAGCCGAGGAAATACCCGCAAGCGAAAAGGGCATCCCTATGACCCAACAAGACCTTGCGAGTCTTCAGAAGACGACCGTCTCCTTGCTGATTCGTCGTCGCACTGGATTCACCGACAAACTCTTCAAGTGTGCTCAGAAATCTGCCGATGGACGGATATCCTTGCGGGCGTTCGCAGAAGGCCCGTACGGCAGCATCCACACCATGGACTCCTATGGCACGGTCATGCTCTTTGCAGGCGGTGTCGGCATCACACATCAAGTACCATTCGTTCGGCATCTCGTTCAGGGCTTTGCCGAAGGGTCCGTAGCGGCCCGTCGCGTTACCCTGGTCTGGATCATCCAGTCCCCTGAACACCTCGAGTGGATCCGGCCCTGGATGACCAGCATTCTGGCGATGGACCGCCGTCGCGAAGTCCTCCGAATCATGCTATTCATCACCCGCCCACGCAACACCAAGGAGATCCAGAGCCCCAGCACCACCGTTCAAATGTTCCCGGGTCGTCCTAACGTTGACACGCTGGTCAACATGGAGGTCGAGAACCAGGTCGGAGCGATGGGAGTGCTGGTATGTGGAAACGGAAGCCTGAGCGATGATGTTCGACGGGTATGCCGCAAGAGACAGGATCAAACGCAAGTGGATTTTATCGAGGAGAGTTTTACCTGGTAAGACTGGTGGACAGCCGGCTGCCTTTAAGTGAATGTTCAATGGAGGGCTGCTCACTCGGCCCCCATTCGTGTCTCAGCACATCCACGCTTGGCGGTCATGTCCTTCGATTAGCCACAGCCTACGGGCTACCTGTGTGTTGGATTCTCTCGGTGTTTGTGGTTGCTATTGGTTTATACTTTTGTAGCTAGGGTATATATAGTTGTTCCTTTTTATGCGTGGCTCTGAAGCTTGCGATTGCACATAACAATCAGGTTTTGCATAACTTTGTGCTTATTTGTGGAAACTTGATTTTTGTAAGCCATTGAACCTAAACACTAGATTGCATTGCTTGCTTACACGACGCATTCTGTCTTTGGCCAGCTTCTTCCAACCCATTAGGACTACTGGGCAGCAGTCAGCACCCATAGTAGTAGCGATGTATGCATCCCGGCATCAGCAACACTGCAACACATTACTAACCCGAACCTACAGAGTAACATCTGCACCCCTGTACTTAATTCCGCCAACTACTAATCACGCAATCCCAAGAATAAATTAACCGTACAGTAAGCCGGCATAATCCTAGTACGGCATCCCCGCCCGATAACAAAAAAATCCCCGATAGAAACAGCCGGATGCTTTTTTCTGCAGCTTAGAAATCAAACCTCAAGCTCAAGTGGGGCTTACTGATGAATCAGCCGAAAATGGCATCATCATGTTCCCTAAGGTTAACTCGTTCCCCCCTATGAATTAAGTAACCAACGTAGCTGTTCAATTGCATTAATCATCGTGTAGTAGTTATTTGGTCGGTCATGAGCGGGGTTCGTGTAGGATCCAGAGGCCTATTTAATGCCCGTTGTCTTCGTCGCACTGCAACTTCTTTTGTATCATCATCATCACCATCATCACCTATTTACTTGAACTCGACTTTCTGTTCACGGATCCCTTCTACTTTTTCTTCTTCTTCTCTGTATAGTACAGCTACAGCTGCAGCTACCACAATGAGCCGCCCCGACATCACCCTCTACACAGCGCAGACTCCCAATGGAATTAAGATTTCCATTGCGCTGGAGGAGCTAGGGTATGCCAATATCTTTCACCGATAAATAGCAATCAACTAACCGATAATCCAGTCTCCCTTACAAAGTCGAGAAGATCGACATCACCAAGAACACCCAGAAAGAGCCGTACGCTACCTTCTCCATACCTCAACAAAACCTCTCCCCATCACCACTAACACCCATCCAGATGGTTCCTCGAAATCAACCCCAATGGCCGCATCCCCGCCCTAACCGACACCTTCACCGACGGATCCAAGATCCGCCTCTTTGAGTCCGGCAGCATCCTCACCTACCTGGCGGAACAATACGACAAGGACCACAAGATCTCCTACCCGCAGGGCACCCGCGAATACTACGAACAAAACAGCTGGCTCTACTTCCAGAACGCCGGTGTCGGGCCCATGCAAGGCCAAGCGAACCACTTCCACCGGTACGCGCCCGAGCGCATCGAGTACGGCGTGAACCGCTACATCAATGAGACGAGACGGCTATACAGCGTGCTGGATGCGCACCTCGCCAAGTCCAAGTCCGGGTATCTTGTTGGTGATCACGTCAGTATTGCAGATATCTCGCACTGGGGATGGGTTGCTGCGGCCGGGTGGGCGGGAGTCGATATTGAGGAGTTCCCGAATCTCAAGGCATGGGAGGAGCGCATGGCTGCTAGGGAGGGCGTCGAGAAGGGGAGACATGTGCCGAGTCCGCATACTATCAAGGAGGTTTTGAAGGATAAGGCCAAGGCGGAGAAGATTGCGCAGGAGTCGAAGGGGTGGATTCAGCAGGGGATGAAGGCGGATGCTAAGCACTAGTTGTTAGTTAGTGTGTTTTAGTTAGTGATGATGTATATGATTGTTTGAATTTGCAATGATAAAGTTGTGAGATAGTATTGATGTGGATGTGCATATTAACAGTAGTTACTGTTCTGTCCTGCTCCCCGCTTAGTCATCAACACGTGCCGGCCTAAAAGCCTTGCCACATCTCCCTCCCCAGCTTCTCTCGTCGCATCGCATCGCCGTCCTCTCGTCAAGGATCCTGCGGAGAAAGAAAGAAAAAGAATTTCTCTTTTTTGCTCGTATATCGGTCTCATTAACAACAGGGATTAATAGTCGTTCATCATGGCCTGGCGCAACCAGGGAATCACCGGGTCCAATAACATCCCTCTGGGCCGGAGACGGTTTGGAGGTGAGGAGGGCCCGGAGGATGAGAGTCGCACCGCGACGCCTGCCTCTATGCCTGGTGCTGGTGATTCGGCCTACAAGCGTGGTCGGAGCCCTGTCCGAGGTGAGTGCATAATATTATAACTGCCCTTCATTATTAAACAGCTGCTAATGCTATGGTTAGCTGAACCCCCCGCCGACGGCGTCAAGAAGCGCAAGAAGCGTAACCGTTGGGGCGATGCGCAGGAAAACAAGGCTGCCGGTCTCATGGGTCTGCCGACCATGATTATGGCTAATTTCACCAATGAACAGCTGGAAGCGTATACCCTGCATTTGCGGATTGAGGAGATTAGCCAGAAGCTGAGGATCAATGATGTTGTGCCGGCTGATGGGGATAGGTTCGTCCCTTCTTCCTGTTGATGGCTGCTGCGCCCTTCTGGAAAACATGCTAACGGTTTTAGATCTCCCTCTCCCCCTCCTCAGTACGATAACTTTGGCAGACGTGTAAACACTAGGGAATACCGCTACCGGAAGCGTCTCGAGGATGAGCGCCACAAACTCGTCGAAAAGGCGATGAAGACTATTCCTAACTACCACCCGCCTTCTGACTACAGACGTCCTACTAAGACCCAGGAGAAGGTCTATGTGCCTGTGAATGACTATCCAGAGATTAACTTCAGTATGATAACTAACCCTCTAACTCCTAACCATTGCTGTATTTGTACTCTCCTGCACTCCTTGACTCTGCTGTGCTCGAGTCGGGCTTCTGATGAAGACTTCGCCGCCGGGCGTTGTTTATCTCCAGCTCGCTTCTTGCGAACCCTTGCTCTACCTGTTCTTTTGCTCCCACTTGCACCATTTTGCTCACACTCACCCGCCTGAAAGTACTTAAAACAGCTTGCACTAACACTTAGCTTTTTGCTATCTTTTAAAGTTGGCTTACTCATAGGACCTCGTGGTAATACCCTGAAGAAGATGGAGTCGGAGTCTGGTGCCAAGATTGCCATTCGTGGTAAAGGTTCCGTCAAGGAAGGAAAGGGTCGCTCTGATGCCGCTCATGCCAGCAACCAGGAAGAAGATCTTCACTGTTTGATCATGGCAGATACTGAGGAGAAGGTTAACAAGGCGAAGAAGCTGGTGCATAATGTCATTGAGACGGTATGTACCCCCAAGGTATTGTACATGAAGTCCAGGTACTAATGGACACAGGCTGCTTCGATCCCCGAGGGTCAGAACGAGCTCAAGAGGAATCAGCTTCGAGAGCTGGCTGCACTCAACGGTACTCTCCGTGACGACGAGAACCAGGCTTGCCAGAACTGTACGTGCCCTTCATAATCTACTTAGAATTATAGCTAACAAACACAGGTGGTCAAATCGGACACCGCAAGTACGACTGTCCTGAGCAGCGCAACTTCACCGCCAATATCATCTGTCGCGTCTGTGGTAACGCTGGTCACATGGCCCGTGATTGTCCCGACCGTCAGCGCGGCTCTGACTGGCGCAACAACAACGGTGGCTTCGGCGGCCGCAGGGCCATTGGCGGCGGTGACGCTGTCGACCGTGAGATGGAGGTATGTTCCCGCACATTCTATTTCCAAGTACACAGTACATGGTACTAACATCCCTCAGCAACTCATGCAAGAATTGTCTGGTGGCGCGCCCGGCGAAGACGGCCATGTCCCTCGTCGGATCGAGGCTGGCCCCGATCAAGGTTATGATGACCGCGACGTGAAGCCATGGCAGCGCGGACCTCCGCCCAGTGACGTGGCTCCCTGGCAGCAACGAGGCCGCGACCGCCGTGACGACTACGGCTCCCGCGACCACGGCAGTGCGCCTCCATGGGCTGCACAGGGCCGTGGTGGTGGCGGTGGCGGCGACTATGGCTATGGCTCTCACGGTGGTTATGGTGCACCTGGAGCTGCTGCTGCCTCCGCTGCTGCTCCTTGGCAACAGGCTGCTCCCCCGCCGCCCCCTGGCGGACAAGCATCGTACGGATACGGAGCTTATCCTACGTACCCCGGCATGGGTGCCCCTGGCGCTCCTCCGGGTCTGAGTGTTCCTCCTCCGCCGCCGGGCATGCCGTCGATGTACTACGGCTCTGGCAGCCCACCCCCTCCGCCTCCTGGCGAGGGTCCCCCGCCTCCGGTATGTTTACTATCCATCCCATCGAATCTACCGCTTACTGACATGATTATGCAGCCGCCTAGTGACCAGCCTCCCCCGCCTCCCCCTCCCGCTTAGAGGAGATGCGACATGAAAAAGTGGTTAATGTTGATGCAAATGATAGCTAGGGACACCGGTAAAGGAATCCGGCCCGGGTAAATTGATAGTGCACGTAGGACACTGGCGATGATAGTTTTAACAACTCTCTCTGTGTAATAATTAGGTAGTCCAGCATCAAGCGTTCTGCTGTAATTGTTTTGCTTCCACTTTTCAATAAATTCGAGACTTAGTTTGCCGGGGGATACATCAATCCGCCTGCAAAATGTACGCATAGCTGCCCGTCGGCAAAAAAGCGTCGTTCGCTCGCTAAAGCCAATGACGTTAGGCACTAACTAGCATGGTCGCTACCGCGTAGTAACATGACTAGCATAGATAAAGACAGACCCGCCATCATGGTTTTATTTTTCGAAGTCCCCCAATTCTGATTAGACTAGAGAGTAGTGGTTATATTTCATTCCACTTCGCTTTTCTAGAATCACCACCTTCGTGAGCTTTCCGCAACCGTCGCCGTGACTCGCCGCCGGAACTCCAGTCTAGCTAGCTAGCTAGCTACTAACTAGCCGGCCGTTTCTCCACACTTTTTCCCTTCTTCTCATTCCTCGAACCTAACTTTCCCCGGATCAAGTCAACCAGTTAAGATTCCGGCTGAGAGACTTTTTTTTCCCTCTCTCCCGCCGGAGCAGCTGAGAGAAAGAGGAAGCTTACTAGGCTCTTTACGTATACTTACTCTCGTTATTATTGTTATCTTGTAGTATTGAGAACCAGCACAGCCGAGTTCTTGATAGAACCATGCAGGCTCCATCTGCCTCCACCTCAGGCTCCCACAGCGGCGGTAGCGGAGGAGGAGTACTAGGAGGAGGGGGAGGAGACACCCTCCCACCGTCGTCTTCGCATTCGCGCCGGCCGTGGCAGTCGCAGCAGTCGCAATCGCAGCATCTCCGCCCGGCGACGACGACGAGCAGTATTCGCTCTCAGCACAGTACCCACAACAGCCATCATGAACATACTACTAGGTATCAGTCTTCCACGGGGAGTGGGACAGGTAATGCTGGGGAGAAAGAAGAAGGAGAAGAGAAATGGTACAAAATCCATCTCTTCCGCGGCATGATTCAGGATGTTAAGCGCCGAGCTCCGTTCTATTGGAGTGATTGGACTGATGCGTGGGATTATCGCGTTGTGCCGGCCACGGTGTATATGTATTTTGCTAAGTGGGTTCAATCCTCTCCTTTTTCTTTTTTCTGGTGATTTTTATGTGGTGCTGATTGTGTTGTGTTGTGTCGTGTAGTATTCTTCCTGCGCTGGCTTTCTCATTGGATATGTTTGAGAAAACCAATCAGAGTTACGGCGTTAATGAGGTCTTGTTGGCGAGTGTGGTGGCTGCGGTGGTATTTTCGGTCTTCGCGGCTCAGCCGTTGGTTATTGTGGGTGTTACTGGTATGTTTTCTTTTCTATCTCGATCTCTTTCTTACTTTTGTTTTTGGTCTGTTGTTGATCTGTGGTGGGATAGGTCCTATTACTGTGTTCAATTACACGGTTTATGATATCATCTCCCCCCGGGGAACGAATTATTTGGCGTTTATGTGTTGGATTGGGATGTGAGTCTCCTTTTTGGTTCTCTCTTTGGCAGCGCGTGTGCTGATGATTGTAGATGGTCGTTGATCATGCATTGGCTGCTTGCCATTACCAATGCTTGTAATGGTCTCACTTATGTCACTCGCTTCTCGTGCGATATCTTCGGTTTCTATGTCGCCTTCATTTACCTCCAAAAGGGTATCCAAGTACTCACCAGGCAGTGGGGGACCGCTGGCGAGACTTCCGCATATCTCAGTATCATGGTCGCCTTGCTGGTGCTTATGAGCGGTTGGATTTGCGGTGAGCTTGGTAACAGCAGTCTCTTCAAACGGTGGATTCGCAAGCTTCTGGAGGATTATGGCACGCCCTTGACAATTGTGTTCTTCACTGGGTTTGTTCATATCGGCCACATGAGGGATGTCGAGGTGGCGAGACTGCCCACTAGCAAGGCGTTTTTCCCGACAGAAGAGCGCCCGTGGCTGGTTCATTTCTGGGATATCAATGTCGGCGATGTGTTCCTTGCTATTCCATTTGCGGTGCTGTTGACGATTCTATTCTATTTTGATCATAACGGTAAGTCAACGTCCAAGATCGCAAATGCTCTGCTGGGTAACTGACCAAATAGTCTCGTCTCTCATCGCCCAAGGAACCGAGTTTCCTCTGCGCAAGCCAGCCGGCTTCCACTGGGACCTCTGGCTACTCGGAATCACCACTTTCGTAGCCGGTCTTCTGGGTATCCCCTTCCCCAACGGACTCATCCCCCAAGCACCCTTCCACACGGCCGCTCTCTGCGTCACCCGCGACGTCGCCGACGAAGACGACACCAACAAAGGCAAAGCCATCCGCGTCACCGACCACGTCGTCGAACAACGCGTCAGCAACTTCGCCCAAGGCCTCATGACCCTCGGCACCATGACCGGCCCTCTGCTCATTGTCCTGCACCTGATCCCCCAAGCCGTCCTGGCCGGCCTTTTCTTCATCATGGGCGTCCAAGCCCTCCAAGGCAACGGCATCACCCAGAAACTCATCTTCCTCGCCCAGGACAGCGGTCTCACGCCAGCATCCAACCCGCTCAAGCGCATCAAACGCCGTCTCTCAATCTGGGTGTTCGTCATTCTGGAACTGATCGGCTTCGGCGCCACTTTTGCCATCACACAAACTATTGCTGCCATCGGCTTCCCGGTTATTATTCTGCTGCTTATCCCCGTCCGCTCGTTCTTGTTCCCCTGGTGGTTTACGCAGGAGGAATTGTCCATCCTGGATGCCCCGACTGCTAGTCCGTTCACTATGGAGAGCGTGGGCGGGACGCACGGGCTGAGTGACGCTGCTGCTACTGCTTCGGGTCGGGATGATGATCGTCGTGATTCGAAGAATGGGGGTGGTGGTGATGGGGTTATGATGCGCAGGGATGAGAGCTCGTCGGAGTCGGCTGTTGAGGATGATTTGGAAAGAGGTGAGGCGTATGAGATGCAGAGGTTCGGTGTAAGGCGGAGGAGTACGACTGGTGGGGTGGAGTAGGTATATTCCTCATTGAGGAAAAGCGCTGCAGTGCATATGATGGGTTAAAAGTATATAATGGTTTTGATTTTGAGGGTATATAGTGGAGAGATAATAGATAGTAGTTTACTAGTATATAATTGGAGGTCATGCATTAGTGCAGTATTTCAGGTTGACAAAACCCTCCTTTAATTAGAGTATAGAAGCCCACCCTTGAGCATCACTATTCCCAGTTACGTTTCATCGATTTTCACTTCTTTACCCACCCTTCTTACATATCATGAGAAATGTTCATCTACATCGAATGGGTGTGAATCTACCTACTTAGCTGCCTGTCAGAGTGTAATAATCAGAATAGTCATCGCATGTGTACATGATATCAACTCAATCTAGACGCCACTCCCTTATAGAGTCCCTTTCAGAGGTAATATTTACGCACTGACTACCTACCTACATATCTTTTCTAATCTACCGATGCTTAGTAGGCATATAATGGGGCCAAATGAGCGGCACCCACATTCGCCTATTTGGGCTGGTTCTCTCCTCCTAGGGTCTAGTCGTGGCCCGGAAGCTATGCCATGCGTGTTAGTATAGGTTGGTCAAATGATACGAATGGCATTGTTTTTAGACCAGGGACTGAGGCTTAGATACAGATAGGTCGATGGGCTCTCTGTCTTTGGTCGCTTTGATTGTGCTAGCTAGTCTATGGTGCAGGGTTATCTGTCTACGCTGTGCCATGGTGTCGTATTTGTGGAGTAGCGTATCTGGCTTTATTTCGCAATTCAGGGGCTCTCCTTTTTCGTTTGGTAGAGCAGATGTTGAGGATCCCGTTGAGTGCTTCTAGTGGTCTTAGTGTTTTGATAGATGATGTGCATTGAGGGGGGATTCTTCTTGTGCGGACTCTTTGCCAATGAGAGCTGTTCACTGATATTTGAGGCTCATGTTTAGCGGGATCGCTCGTGTTGACTGAAGAATGGGCCATCCTGATGGGTGATTCAGTTCATGAAGTAATTTGTAGGATAGCCAAGAATGATATGTCTCCGAAGGTAGGTGGCAATCGACTGCATAGTGAGGTGGTGTCCTTCAACTATCTTCTTGCTTGCTTATCTCTCTCAGCACATTTTTGCCCTATTGTATCTTCTGTTACACCACTATAGCAGTAGCGTATCTTTGCTCTTATCTATTGGTATTGTTATGTGATCTCCCGATCTCCCGTTCCTGCTCGTGGTATCTCATTCGTTCTCTGTGATAAGGTGGTCCCGAATACGTAAACCGTAGCTGTTCAATTTGATATGAAGGATCAAGATCGTAATTTTGTCTGAACTCCCGAAATTCGTTAGCTTGCAGTTCAATGACATAGTTTGAAGCGAATCAAAAGAAAGCCCACTAGGCGCTGGGATAAACTTCATCAAGAGGAATATCACCTCTGATCATTCTTCCTTCGAATTGATAGAAATCCAACTGTTGCAGCACTCTCTTCCGTTTCATATTTGAATTGATATTGTGCGCAATTTCGCGCAATCTCCGTAAAGTAGATACAGCGTAGATCGTCTGAGCAATCTGACGCCATCCAAATTGACCTCACTGTCGGTTCTCCATCAAGTCAGGCCTCAGACTGTAAACACGACAAACAAGGAAGGTGCGATCAATCCCACGCTGCTCTCTCCTTCCTCATCTAGATCTTAACACGCGTTGTTGCCTCTCCAACTCGCCATCGACGTGTTTTCGCTCTCTCTTTCTGTTTCTTCCTCATCTTCTCATCCTCTTACCTCTCTCTGTATCCTCACATTTGACTTCATCTTCTCTTATCTGACTTAGTCCTTTTCGTGGGCGTCAAGGTATAAAAGGCCTCTTCTCTCTTCCTCTTCCTCTTCCTCCTTCTTCCTCCCCAACCTACTCCGATCTCTTGAGCGCTCCCCTCTCTGTTACTTCCTCTGATCGTTGACCATCATCACACACAGCCTTAAACCCCCAAAAATACAATAAACAACAAAAATATCTTGGCTTTGTCGCAGCAATGCAGGCGAGCAAAGGTCTTCCACTTTCGGACCCGGCGTTGGACCGGCCTAGATTGAAGACCGACGTGTGCAAGAACGTGGACCTGCCAATGTCTGCGTTTGCGATTAACCACTTGGTAAGTTCAGGCCTCTGTTTGCATTCCCTCGATT